TGTGAAACGAGGGTCTATGTATTCAAATCTGCTGCCGTACACAATAGACGAGATGATGTTTGACACAGCGTAGTTCACAGGCTGTGTTGTGTCAAAGGGTTTCCCTGCGAAAAAACAAAACAACGGTCTCTCATTGGACCTTTAAAATTAAGAGCAGAATTGCAGACTTGTGTCTTGTTTAACAAGCACCTTCAAACTTATCAAATTCTCCTTTGAGATGATGAATTTCTTCAATGATTTTCTCTTCACTTCCTCTTTTGCCCATCCCAAAGTCCCGCAGGTTGCTGAGAGCGAAGCGTCGCATCTCTTTCCAGTTCTCTCCATTGGAAAAGAGGATTCCTGATCCACACAAAACCATGTCACTACTAGTTTCAGCAACAATAAGAGCAGAGAATGATGACTACATGAGTTAGACACACATTGGGCTCTATTTTGACGGTCCATGCGCAGAGCGCAAAGCGCAGGGCGCAAACGCTTTCAGGGCGTGTCAGAACGCGTTTTTTTCTAATTTAAGGACAGGAAAACTTGCTTTGCGCCGCAGTGCATGGTCTAAAAGGGTTGAGTTTATTTTCTTAATGAGTTATAGGTGTGTTTTGAGAATAAACCATTTAGAGTCTCATCTCCGATTCCCTTTAAGAGCCAGCTGCATCGCGCCATAAGTGCATTCGCTATTTACAGGACGCAAAGTAAGTCTAAGTGGAAAAAATGAGCATTTCACTAGCAAACAGTTAAAAGTTTTTTTTAACAGAAAACTGTTAAACAGAGCATCTACTGCGTGAGAATGAGAGATAATGGAACTACTTTCACTTTCGCTCTTGGATAGGGAAACCTTTACACACAGACATCAATTAGTCTATAAATAATTAATTTTGTTTGTTAAGCGCAAATATTCATTTCAAAACTATTTCTAAATTTAGTTCTAATTTCCAGCAAACGAATAAATGAATAATAATAGCAAAATGTGCTCAAAAACCTGAGTTATATCCTAAAACATATGCTGTGCCCCATATGGTCTAAAACCTGACAGGTGGGCAAATCTAAGCTTGTTTTTAATGAAACAAATATAAATATGGAGATAATAAATAATACTGCTAATAATAATAACATTATAAAAAAAACTAATTGTTATGAATGAACTGAAAAAGCCTCCCGAGATGAAGAAGACATAAAAGCAGTGGTTTTTCATATTTATGTAGGCTAGAAAATAATATGTTTTGTAATATTTTAATCCTTTATATTTATATTCTATATCTATTCTTATTATATCCTATATATATCCTTAAAATTTACATTTTTTCATATGTAAAGATATTTGCCTATTGCTCTCTTGTGCGTATTAAGTAGTGTGTAAGCGAGGCGCAACTCTGCGCTGGAGTTTAGACCGGGTTTGTTTTGGTCTAATGAAAAATCTATTATAGTTTCTCAAAATAGCCTCAGAACGCCTCCCTTTTTAGACCAGAACGTCTATGGGCGCACAAATGAGCGCTAATGCATTTGCTATTTAAACAGCGTAGCACAACGCCTCAAAACGACTCTTGTGCCAAGCTGAAACTACCAAAAGACTATTGCGTCACGCCTTGCGCCACACTGCGCCGGGTGTATGATAGGGCCCACTATCTTTCAACTTCTGGGACATTTACTGTGTCTGCTTATACGCATTGAATGACTGGTTAACAACACACTGGCCTTTTTACGAGTTACTAGCTTTAGGTTTATTGTTAGGTTTTTCATTGTTAAAGTGGCCAGCTTGTTTGGTTTGCAACATGTCTTGCATTTATTGCGTGAACATTCATTCGAGGTAGAAAAAGAGTCTTACCATGTTCTTCATCCTTCAACTTGAAACCAGGTCCAATCTCTCGATCACCGAACACTTCAGCGTAGTTCACAAGCGCTTCTTTTACAGTTTTGTATCCAACTAGGACTACAGTTTTTCTGTGTCCCAAAAATACTTGGAATATATTTCCATACGTTTTGGACAGCTGGAGGACACAGAAAAGGACACTTAAGACAAATCTCAAAATAATAGGCTACTGTTTATTCTGTGTATTGAGTTCTCACCTCAAAAAAAGTGTCAAAGGATCTTGTGAGGTCAAGGGTCAGCAGGTTTCCCACCAGTGGCAGTGGTTTGGGTCCCGGCGGCTCTTTCCCTTCTTTCTGAGATGTGGATCCAGATGAAGCTAGATATAAAACCAGTAACAACAGCAAAGCTCCCAGCAATGCACTTGTGCTGGCAAACTGCAGAAGTGACTCGACAACAGCCATTTTCTTTCTGAGCTTCGCAACTGATGTACTCAGTAATTTTATAGCTGCTATATGGAGGAGGGACCTTGCCTCGTTCTAAATAAATCTGTGTGAATAAAGGGCATGTATAGTGGCAGGTATAGTTGTATAGGCAATAATATGACACCCTGTGGTATAACATTAACCTTTTCCAGAAAGCCAATAGCAAGCAGATCTGAACTGATACACAAATACTGATTTTTATCAGTCTTTAAACCATAGTAACGTCCTGCCTTACATTGGGCACTGTGTGTGTTTAGGTCAGTAACACCAATTTGACACCATTAGAAAAATTTAATACATATTCATAGCTACTTTTTCAGCTTACAATTCTGAGTGAAGTCTTCATCTGTTTAAAGTCACCATGTAATCAAAATGTACTCATCCTATTTTCATATGCATATATTACTGTTTTTTGCACTATATAATTTTGTACAGATTAATTTTCCCTCATAATCTTTAACCTTCCCTCCCCTCTCGAAACAACTTTCCTTCACTTTTTGTCACATGGCTTTCAGTAGTACAGTAGTACACTTTTACTCAACTATTTTATTTTTCGCCAGTTCATTTCTCTGGAGAACATTTTTTACCTACTACAAAATAAAACCAAAGGAACAAAGACCGCAAGTCAGTTTGACGAATCAATGGTCTGTTGCATTACTTAAGTAAACACAACCTCCATACAGTAGTACATTTCATTTATCAGGCAAGCCCATGCATGTATTTCTAGCAAGCGATTGATAATAGTGATGGTAATTCTGGTTCTTTTCTGCAAACTAGGGCTTTCCCGAAACTGCATACTTCCATACTATATAGTACGCTAAAATCAGTATGCAAACCGAGTATTATGTCCATAATATATATAATATATATGTCATAGAATTCGAAAATCAGTATGCGAGAAGTACCTGGATGACCTACTACTTCCAGCGAGATTCTGAAGTGCGCATCCCATGATGCCCCGCGAAAGAATACATAAATGGGAGTAAATAATAATAATAATAATAATTCCTTACATTTATATAGCGCTTTTCTGGGCACTCAAAGCGCTTTACACAATGGAAGGGAATCTCCTCATCCACCACCAGTGTGCAGTATCCACCTGGATGACGCGACGGCAGCCATATTGTGCCAGACCGCACACCAGACACCAGCTGATTGGTGGAGAGGAGAAAGGGATGAAGCCAATTGGAATATGGGGATAATAAGGAGGCCATGATGGACAGAGGCCAGTGGGTAGATTTGGCCGGATTTTGGTTAAACCCCTACTCTTTTTCGAAGGACATCCTGGGATTTTTAACGACTACAGAGAGTCGGGACCTCAGTTTAACGTCTCATCCGAAAGACGGCGCTCACTGAGCAGCATATCGTCCCCGTCACTATACTGGGGCATTAGGACCCACACAGACCGCAGGTTGGGCGCCCCCTGCTGGCCTCACTAACACCACTTCCGGCAGCAACCTAGCTTTCCCATGTGGTCTCCCATTCAGGTGCTCACCGGGCGCAGCCCTGCTTAGCTTCAGAGGTCGACCATGTGAGAGTTGCAGAGAGCTAGCTGCCGGCGATGCAACTGACATGGGTAAGTCACGTAACCATGACAAAATGGCAGATGTAGTATTCTCTTAATACTGCTAGCATTCATACTGTACAGAACATATTTTTCTAACGGCCAAGTTGTACGTTTAAATTCAAATGCAGTACCTACTGAGCAGTAGGCAGTTTCAGACGCAGCCCAATTCTTTCTGATTCAGTTAATTTTCCAAAAAAAAAATTTTTTTACCTTACAGATGGTGCTGCGTTAGTCAGTCACAGCATACATGTACTGAAAATACTCAACAATAAAACTGTCAGAGGCACCTAATACTCTTTCGATAATTAACTACTGTGACGAAGAAAAGTGCCTCTTATGATAGCCGAAGAAATATTGGTGTTTCAAGAGCTCCCGCTTAGATATGCTTGGCGTTAATAGCAGGTTTGGCATGCTGTCCCGGGAGAGAACCCTGAGCTCGGAGATAATTGAGCCCAAGGCTCCTGCCCGGTCAATAAGCATGTAAGGGGATCCAAAATCAGCTAGGTCTCGAGAGCTCGAGAGAGAAAAGGGAGGAAAAGGAGGAGATGGGGTGGAAGGGGGATTCTTCCAAAACGAAGATAGAGCCGTAGGGAGAAAATGATCCATTTATTGTAAACTAGTGTAACGGAGGCTAGCTAGTGAGTGCTGTGCAGGTTAACCTCACTCCTCTGACCTCTAAACGTGCTCTAGCGACAGATGCTAGAGGACATGGTCTTTAGCCTCCTTGGTAGAGCAACCAACTCCCATGCGGAAGGTCGCTGGTTCGAAATCAGCTCGGAGCGGGTTGGGTGGTGTAGGATTGGCAGGGTTACACTAGGATCACTCTTATTGGATTTTTACTGATTACAGATGAGCAGCCAGTCGTGCTCAATCATATCACATTCTCATCTCGAAATTAGTATATTAAACTTCACTTAAAACTCAGCGACCAACTTCAAGAAACACATTGAGCTAAAGTGGTGATTCAGAAGATAAGAGTGTTTAAAAATCTTTCACATTTAGAATAAAGTTAATTTTTTAAAATGTGAATCTTCATTGTATTAAAATAATATTATTATAATTAGACCTTTTTAACAAATAGAAAACAAAACATATAAAACAGAGAGCTCAAACAGTGCATGTAATAAAATAAAAATGTAGAAACACTAAATTATGTTCTTCAATAATGTAGTCTTTATTGTTGACAGTGTTTTAGATAATGACCACAGTACATTTTTCAACAAACATAACACAATGGTCAAACTTACACAAAAGCTATAGCACAAAGTAAGATTATATAACATTTTCCAAAGGTCACAGTTGTCAAAAATGAGTAGGGAGTAAACAGGTCCTTCTTTTTAATCACTTTAGCAAATCATTCACCATATCACTACTCTCGAAAACCATCCCTACTCTCTCATAAGACATCACTAGCCTTTCAGCTCTGCACTACTCTTTCTCTCTGCTTTGCTGTGATCCTGATCAGCTCTTCAGTCATAAATTTGTTATCAGGGATTTTCAATCAGGTTTCGATCAGGACTGTGGTCTGCCATTACATCGTTTTATTGTTTTCAAGTTTTTCTGTGTGACGGATTCATCAATGGACACGCTCTGGGTTTGCTACATCACAGTCATGCATGAAGTTTGCCGACTGGGTCTTGGATGAATGCAGGAGGGGAACTGAATGTTGAGTTGGCTCAATGTAGCTGCAGTGTTAAACCAGTAGCTCATTAAGAGTTTCATTTTTACCTTGTCATCATGTGGTTCAGGACGGTGAGCCATTTTGGGAGACCAACGGTAAAAGAAAAATAAGTGGAGGACTTGCATATCTCATATGTACTTGTTTTCTTCTGCTGATATTTTCTTGGATCATTAGCGTCTGATTGCACACAGCTTGTGTGGAGACGGATTCAACGTGATTCCAACAATTCCTTTGAGATCCAGTTCATCTTCAGACACTCCAGGTGGAGTTGTGAAGCGGTAGCTCTGAAGGAGAGATGTGAAGAACAGGAAGAGCTCCATCCTGGCTAAACTCTCTCCCAGACAAATCCTCCGCCCTGAGAAAGAGAGGCTGTTGTTGAAATATCTAGGTAGGCTCCATGTGGATTTGAAACCATAGTCACTGCTGCTTTATTCGATGGCTCTAGCATCGCTCATCAATGTCAGAATGACTGAAGAAGCCAATCAACTCAAAGAATGTGGAGGGGTATTAGTAAAACTATACCTGACGATTTAGTTTTAACACTTAATAGGAAATAAGTAGCTAAACATTTCATTCTAGATGTTCATTTTGCTATAGAAGTAAAAAGACAGGCAGTGATCATGCAGAAGCAAACAACAGTAAAGTCTTAATAGTACACTACTGAATTGTAAATAGTTCACGTGAGTCATTTCATTCATTAGAATCATATGAAGTGAAGCGACATTAATGGAGCCTTTTTAACAGGCTGCAGATTTTTAGATCACATTGTTTTCATATTTATGTTTAACTGTACCTGCAGAAAAGGGCATGAAAGCATCTCTCTTGACGAACTGGCCCTTCTCATCAAGGAAGTGTTCTGGGTAAAAGCTGTTTGGTTTCTCCCATTCACTTTCATCCTTCAGAACAGACGTCAGCAGAGGAATAACAGTGGTCCCCTATAAAATTGGAGGAAAAAAAAAAGCAAAACCTTGACGTCCTGAACATGATTTATCTTCTCTAGGACCGATATGTACAGTACAGTGCGTACAGAAAGTATTCACAGTAATTCACTTTTTCCTATGTTACAGCCTAATTCCAAAGTTGCCTTAATTCATAACTTTTTCTCACAAATGTATAAAAATAATGTGCATTTATTCTTCTGGCTGACCTTCTTGATGAAGTACCCATTGAAGGTAATGTCGCAGCTAGTTGTGTGTGGAAGATTCAGTGGTACAATGTTGGCAAATCTCTGAATTTCGTGAATGACAGCATCTGTATATGGTAATTTCTTCCTGTCTTCCACCGCCGGCTGACGTCCACCAATCACTCTGTCAATCTCCTCTTGAACTCGATCTGCACACAAATGCAACACATATTTGGTGCTTTGATCTACAATGTATTCAACATTGAGAAATACTTCTCACAACTTTTTTTTACCCTGTATCTGAGGGTATTTGGCCATGAGCATCAGACCCCAGCGCAGAGTCGTTCCTGTGGTGTCAGTACCAGCGACAAACAGATTTGCCACATTCATCATCAGATTCTCATTGTGAAAGTATGAGTTCTTTTTTCCAGATTTCTGTCGAATGCAATGCATATTTTTTTTTTAAATTGTAAACCTTAACGGTAAAATAATCAAAATAACATATAATCGTCCCATTCAGATCTTGGTTAAACTGCAAACCTAAATTTCTGATTATTTCAGTGAAAGCTACTGTTGCAAATGTTCATACCTCATCGCTCAGTTTGTGGATGAGAAAGGAGTCAACAAAGCCTCTGGGGTCATTTGGATTCAGAGTCTCCAGAAGAGCAGTGATCAACTTTGTCATCTGTGCTCTGCTTTGGATAATATTTCTTACAACAATCCTTTTGTTTTTCAGAAATGGACCCAACCAGGGAAACATATTGTAAAGCTAGAAATGCACATTCAGAGACACAAGAAAGACAGTGACAGATATTTTCCAGACATTTTGTTTTAAAAAATAGATTAAAGCTTTTGTAGTACACTTCAGGATCTCTGTGAACAGCCTGCAGTGTTGGTTAACTATACTTACTCCCATTGAAATTGATCCGCCAACTCGAACATTTTCGTTTGCTCTGTCAACCATTTCTGTGAATTGAGGGTCTGTGTATTCAAATCTGCTGCCGTACACAATAGACGAGATGATGTTTGACACAGCGTAGTTCACAGGCTCTGTTGTGTCGAAGGGCTTCCCTGTCAATTAAAAATAGCAAACGTTTGTTAAAGTAGATTGTATACAGTAAATGGAGAGCATGATTGTTCATATATGTCATATCGTGTACCTTCAAACTTATCAAATTCTCCTTTGAGATGATGAATTTCTTCGATGATTTTCTCTTCACTTCCTCTTTTGCCCATCCCAAAGTCCCGCAGGTTGCTTAAAGCGAAGCGTCGCATCTCTTTCCAGTTCTCTCCATTGGAAAATACAATTCCTGACCCACAATTAAAAAACATCTTACTGTGAGTCTCAACATCAACACCAGCATAAAAATATGACTCCATGAGTCAGACAAGCATAAACTATACTGCATATAATCTAGACTAGAGGTCACCAACCTTGTTTCTAGAGAGCTTCCTTTCCTGCAGAGTTTAGTTGCAACTCGACCTAACACACCTGTCTGTAATTATCAAGTGCTGCTTTAGGTCCTATTAATTGGTTCAGGTGTGTTTGATCAGGGTTGGAGCTGAATTCTGCAGAAAGGTAGCTCTCCAGGAACAGGGTTGGTGACCCCTGATCTAGACCTACAATGGTCAATCTCTTATTACTAGTGGTGGGCAAAGCAAGCCCAGCTAACAAATTTAGGTTGTAAGAACGTTCTCATAACGTAATCTGTAATGTTCCAAGAATGTTGAAATGTCCAGTTTGCTTAATGTTGCTAGAACGTTTTTATGGTTAGGAGAACGTTGTTACAACGTTTTTAAAGCCTAAATTTCCACCAAAATATAACGTTCTAAAAACATTTATTTGGAATGTTCCAAGAACGTTGAAATGTCCAGTTTGCTTAATGTTGATAAAACGTTTTTTATGGTTAGGATAACGTTGTTACAAAGTTTTCAAAACCTCAATTTCCAACGAAATATAACGTTCTAAGAACGTTTACTTGAAACGTTCCAAGAACATTGAAATGTTTAGTTTGCTTAATGTTGGTAGAACGTTTTTTTATGGTTAGGATAACGTTGTTATAATGTTTTTAAGAACATCTAAATGTCCAGTTTGTTTAATGTTGCTAGAACGTTTTTTTATGGTTAGGATAACATTGTTACAACGTTTTCAAAACCTAAATTTCCACCAAAATATAACATTCTAAGAACGTTCACTTGAAACGTTCCAAGAACGTTGAAATGTCCAGGCTTCATGAGAAACTGAAACAGTTGAAGCAAATGTGTTGGAAGTTTCAAAACTTTTACAGTGACATCTAGTGGTCATTTTTTATGTATTGCTCTGGAACAGCTTTAGTAAAGAAACAGTTAAACAAATTAAGGTATTAAACCAAGTTGTAGAGGTCAGGCGTCAAGTGATTTAGTGAGAGTTACTGACTATCATACAGAGATAATAGGTTCAAATCCATGGTAAATGCTCTATTTTTGAAACATGTTTTGTTTTAACGTTGGTCTGACATCTGAATGACTTTTTTGTGAATAAATATATCTTCTTTTGGTCATAAAAAATATTGAAATACATCAAGTCATAATTTCAGAGTTTTTTTAACGCGTCTGAAATGCCCCATGCTTTGAATCACTTTAGTCACCTGACCTGGTGTTCCAAAACACTTAAGTCACGTGACCTGGATGTTTTGGATCATGCTTCGGTGCAGTATTTTAAAAAACACTTGCGCTTCAGGATCTTGACACTGTGGAAACGTCAGTTTCATTTATTACTTTTAGATTACTTTTTCACCACATGAAGTTAGGAATCCACATATGCTTCCTAATTTTCAAACCAACACCCATTAACATAAGACGAACCGAAGATTTTAGGTTTTCCATCGTCTGTCTCTATGTTTTCCCATTTGAGCATATTTCCTTGGCCTGGAGAGGCCACGAGAAACTGAAAGCTTGAACAAGATCTTTGTTTCTCAACATTCATTTGATGCAGAAAAAGTCTTACCATGTTCGTCATTCATTATCCTGAAACTAGGTCCAATTTCTCGATCACCAAATGCTTCTGCATGGTTCACAAGTGCTTCTTTGACGGTTTTGTATCCAACTAGGACCACTGTTTTTTTGGGCCCCAAATACACTTGAAATATATTTCCATAGGTTTTGGAGAGCTGGAGGACAACAGAGGAAGATATTTACAAGATATGCTACCATTTATTATTATGCATTGAGTTCTCACCTCAAAAAAAGTGTCGAAGGCTCTTGTGAGGTCAAGTGTCAGCAGGTTTCCCAGCAGGGGCAGTGGTTTGGGTCCCGGTGGCTCTTTCCCTTCTTTCTGAGATCCAGATCCAGATGAAACTAAATACAAAACCAGAAACAACAGCAAAGCACCCAGCAATGTGCCTGTGCTGGCAAACTGCAGAAGTGACTCAACAACAGCCATTTTCTCTCTGAGCTTCTCAACTGATGCCCTCTGTATATTTGTAGCTTCTAAATGAAGGCGGGACTTTGTTTTATCAAAATGTTTTTAAAAAGGCAGTTACGTCTGCTTGTATGACACTCTGCAGTTAATATTTAACCTCTGTCAGCCTGTTAAAGCAGTAAATGAAATTTGTTGAATTAATACAATTTATTATATTTATTAAAGCTGTGGAAGCACATTTTTACACCAATGTTATTGATCATGATTCAGAACACTATTAGGATTATATATGTACTTTATATTTTGCTATTATCTACTTTTCTTAAAGGGCCAAAAATGTCAATTTACTCTTTACTTTCCTTCAAGTGGTTCCCAATCTTCATGAGTTTGTTGAACTAGAAAGAAGACGTTTTGAAGAAAGCTGGAAACCTGCAACTATTGAGTTTCATTTTTAGAAAAAAACAAATACCACAGAGGTCAATAGTTACAGGTCTCCAGCTTTCTTCCATACATCTTTTTGTGAACTTAATAGAAAAAAATAAAGTCATTAAGGTTTGAAACAAGTAAAGGGTGAGTAAATGATGACAGAATTGTCATAGTCAACTTTAATCGACAGCAAATAAGCAGCTGTGAACTGTGACACACAGAGATCCTGTGACTTTTATCATAGTAAACTCCTGCCTTACATTGGGCCAGTTGTTTGCTTAGGTGAGTAACTAATCTTAATTTGAGTATTTTATTTTTTTAAATATTGCAACACTTAAAATTCACAATCATGTTTTTTCCCCCCGTGATTTAACATCTTGCAATTCTGAAACACTATAAACCAAGATTTACAAGAAAGTCAAAATTGCAAGACCAAAAACAAATAAAAATCTCAATAATAATATAAAGAATTTAAAGATTACAATTTTTTTTCAATTAATTTGTGCCCTATCCAAACCCATTCCTGAATTTATATCTAGTGTAGGGGTCTCAAATTGGTGGGGGGCCATTTTAGAGACAGACAAACGATATGAGGGCCGTTGTAACAGTACTGTGCAGACTTTTAATGGGTCATTAGGGAGGTTTAGTGTTAAATTTTGTTGCGGGTCTGAGGGAGGAGGAGGGTGGGCAGTGGTTAGTAGATTACCCAGCAGTGGCAGTGGTTTGGGTCCAGGTGGCTCTTTTCCTTTTTTCTGATATGTGGATTCAGATGAAACTAAATACCAAACCAGTAACAACAGCAAAGCACTGAGCAGTGAACCTGTGCTGGCAAACTGCAGAAGTGTTTCGACAGCAGCCATTTTCTTTCTGAGCACCTCAACTGATGCTCGTAGCTTTATAGCCACTACGTGAAGGAGGGAGCGGAATGAACCGGCAACTTATTCAGCTAGTTTTTTACACAGTGGCTACCCTTCCAGCCACAACCCATCTCTGGGAAACATCCCCACAGACATTCATACACACACTCATACACTACGGACAATTTAGCCTATACCCAATTCACCTGTACCGCATGTCTTTGAACTGTAGGGGAAACCGGAGCACCCGGAGGAAACCCACGCGAAACTCCACACAGAAACGCCAACTGAGCCGAGGCTCGAACCAGCGACCTTCTTGCTGTGAGGCGACAGCACTACCTACTGCGCCACTGCTTCGCCCTGTTTTTAAACAAATGTTAGCAAAAATAACAAGTAACTAGTATTTGACACCCTCTAATAAATCGTTAACCTTCTTCAATAGATTTAATCATATGGTTCATGATGTGCCTTTTTCAAAGACAAGGACATCCAGTGTAGAACCTTGCCAAATCTAACCAAGCGAATAATTAGTTGTATAAATCTGCACTGAGGCCTGTAGTAACAACAACCAGCTGAATTTGAGCCACTGTTGATCAAAGAAGGAGGAGGAGGAGAGAAGGATGTGATAAATGAGGCATGAAGTTTAGTGGGTCTGAGGGAAGAGGATACAGGGGACAAGACTAGGTGGAATCTGAAAGAAGACGTTAAAAAGGACAAAAAATGTTTAAAGGAATGAAATAAAAAAATCTAACAAGCTTAACAAAAAAAAGTCTAACAATCTTTGTAAAAGTTTTTACAGATTTTTTTAAAATGTGCACTTACATTAACATTTAGTCATTTAGCCGATGCTTTTATCCAAAGCAACTTACAAATGAGGACAAGGCAGCAATTTACACAACTATAAGAGCAACAATGAAGAAGTGCTGTAGAAAAGTTTCAGGTATGTAAAGTGTAAGAAGCAAAACTTTGTAATTTTATTATTATTATTTTTTGTAATACAGTTAGCGGTAGAACCAGAGAGGCAATTGCAGATTAGGAAGGGAAGAAGAGACTAAATAGTTGCGTTTTAGTCACTTTTTGAAGACAGCGAGTGACTCTGCCGTTCTGATACAGTTAGGGAGTTCATTCCACCAATTGGGCAGATTGAATGCAAGAATTCGGGAAAGTGATTTCTTCCCTCTTTGGGAAGGAACCACGAGGCGATGTTCATTCACTGAACGCAAGTTTCTGGAGGGCCTATAAATCTGCAGAAGTGAGAGCAGATAAGAAGGAGCAAGGCCAGAAGTCGCTTTGTAGGCAAACATCAGAGCTTCTAATTTGATGCGAGCAGCAACTGGCAGCCAGTGCAAACGGATGAGTAGCGAAGTGACATGTGCTCTTTTAGGTTCATTAAAGACCACTCGTGCTGCTGCGTTCTGAAGCATCTGAAGAGGTTTGATAGAGTTAGCTAGTAGAGAGTTGCAATAGTCCAGTCTGGAGAGAATAAGAGCTTGAACAAGGAGTTGAGCTGCATGTTCAGATAGGAAGGGTCGGACCTTTCTGATGTTGTAGAGTGCGAATCTGCACAATCGAGCAGTTCTAGAAATGTGGGCAGAGAAGTTTAGTTGGTCATCAATCGTTACTCCAAGGCTTTTCACCATTTTGGATGCAGTAATGGTTGCCCCATCCATCAGCATTGAAAAGTTGTGATGTGGAGTCGGGTTGGCAGAAAATTCAAGCATTTCCGTTTTCGTGAGGTTCAGCTGAAGATGATGATCTCTCATCCAGTGTGAAACGTCTGACAGGCAGGCTGAGATGCGAGCTGGAACCGAGGGATAATCAGGGTGAAAAGAGAGGTATAGCTGGGTATCATCAGCATAGCAGTGGTAGGAACTTTGTGGCACTTTGATTTATAGACGCATTTAATATTTAATACTTTTCTTATCAGACAATAAATAACAAGCAGCTCTCAACCAGATCAATGCCAATGATAGTCCCACCCTTACAAAAAGAAAAAGCAGCAACAGAATGCGGGTTGAAGTGGAAATATGGATACAGTAATGCTCTTCATTAAACCCAATAGATGAAAGTAAACTACAAAATATAATATGAACATGACTTCCTGTAAAAGGAAGAAGTAAATCTTTTAGCTGGTATGAGGGCAGGTCAATTATGAACAAGCATTATTTTAAAAAACGACTTTAATTAAAATTACTTTTTTACAGAAGAATCAGCTGTGTGCATGCAATCAGTCAGGATCTGGAACCAGTTGTGTGTGTGGAGCATGACTGGTTCTTGTAGTCCATTTACCAGCAGATTTGTAGTTCATGTGAATGTGAGTGTTTACCAGCAATCTCTGGTGGTTTGATCGCTGGTGATCATGATAATTAGCATTAAACATCTATTTTCTGTATTATTTATCATTTCAGCTACAACAAATACCTTCTGTCCCTTCTTTCTAGTTAACCATGTAGCATGTTTTAAAGGGCATATCAAAACACAAGACTTGGTCTAACTGGACAGAGATGCGGTTTGATCTCAGAAACCTGAGACATTGAGATGGGCTCTGTTATTGCGAGTTCTGTGAATTTCTCATTCACTTTTTAAAACCAATAATATGATAAAAATGCTTAAAATTCTGTTTTACATATGCCATGTGGTATCTAATTTGAGGTCAGGATCTTAAGCAAAATGTCAACTCTGTTATTGTCAACTCTGTTATGGTTTAACAAGTTTAAAAATAAGTTAAACAATTAGTAACAATCAAATGTTTCCCATCACCCAGCATGTAAGCATTCTGGATTGTTTACATTAATTGTAGATTCAATTTACTGTATTTGAAATGCCTGAGTACTTGAAATGTATCCACAATTCTGGCTGGAGTCACATATTTCAACACTACAGTTACAGTATATGTTCGATTACAGAAACATAGCTCTATTGTTTACGTAACCTTTTGTACTCATAAACATACACACAAATCATGTGAATACAAAAGTGCCTTACCTCTGTAACACTTCAACCTGGAGTTACTTCAGCCCTCTGACCTATTTCACATATCTAAGTAGGTAATATAACATTTCAACAGAGTTTATTACATAAAACTGTATCATGTACACTCATGTACAACAAAAAATGGCTATTGCAAATTTTTAAACTACATAATCAGACTTTTCTCAAGAGTTGTGATCTACCAAACGTGTGTTTTTTTTTTTTTTTTTTTTTTGGACACCGTATCTACATATTCCCCTACATATTTCACCATATTTACCTTTAGAGATTTATTTAAATACACTACCGGACAAAAGTCTTGTCGTCGATTCCAGTTGTAAGAGCAACAAATAATGACTTGACTTCTAGTTGATTATTTGGAAAAGTGGCAGAAGGTAGACTGCAGAGTGGATGGCAACATCAACAGCCTGAGGTATCAAGACATTTGTGCTGCCCATTACATTGCAAACCACAGGAGAGGGCAAATTCTTCAGCAGGATAGCGCTCCTTCTCATACTTCAGCCTCCACATCAAAGTTCCTGAAAGCAAAGAAGGATTGGCCAGCCCAGTCAGCAGACATGAACATTATTGAGCATGTCAAGGAGGAGGCATTGAAGATGAATCAAAAGAATCCTGCAAGAGTCCTGCAAGAACGCTTTTTTTGGCATTCCAGATGACTTTATTAGTAAGTGATTTGAGTCATTGCAGAGATGTATGGATGCAGTCCTCCAAGCTCATGGGAGTCATACACTATATTCATTCTTCTTCCACTGCACCATGACTTGATATTCTATACTGGACATTATTTCTGTTAATTCTGAGATTACTTGCAATTCTGAGTTTACATCTTTCGATTTTTCAGTTTATACTACGATTCCGAGTTTACACCATTCAATTTTGAGTTTACATCTTATGATTTGAGTTTAGATCCAAAGTCTTCTTGTGATTCTGAGGTTTGAGTATAAAAGTAAAAAAAGATGGTCAGTGTAGAAATTACATCTTAAATATCTACAATTTTTAGCTATCGTGTACAAGTTAGCATCTAAACAATATGACGACAGTTCACACTCCGTGACTGTCACTTGTGTGAGCAAGAAATAAACTGCCTTTATCAATTTCTTTAAATTCAGCCGCCAACATTT